CCTAAGTAGCGGTTAATATCACTTCGTATTCAGAACTGAGCTTTGAGCCGTGAGCCTCTGACCTCCTCTTAGTCGGTTCGTGTGATCATAGGCACGGTGCTTCAGCACAACGCAAGTGTTGTTTGCGGCAACTTCCCCAAGACTAGAGACTTCTCAAAGGCGCCCACTGAAGCTGAGCGTAGCTGAGCAGCTACTACTACTACTACTACTACTACTACTACTACTACTACTACTACTAATACTAATACTAATACTAATACTAATACTAATACTAATACTACTAGCTGAGGTTGAGCCCACGGGTCCACTTTCTGGGCACGCCGCCAAGCGAGAGCGGCCGCCTCGCTCTCGGACCACCAGTCCTTTTCCAGCTGAGCACGGACGCTTGCAGGAGCACCTCCGGTGACTACAGAATCTGCATCTGTTGCTGTAAGATAATCTGACACATCTACAGTAGCAGGCCATCCAGACTGCCGCCACTCGACCTGTTGTTCTGTCTGCCAACAACATGGCCGTGCAATGGAATGCTGCGAGAGGCATAACACGCACACATTGATCAGCAGACTATCCTGCGCATCTCTTTGTCCGGGCGGAATTCTAGCCACAGAGTCTATCCTGCAACGTTGGCAAGCTTGCTCTAAGATATCATGCTGAGGCACCACACCCAGAATACTTCCTGGCGTCTCTGTCAGCCCCAGGACGAAGGGTTGCGAGCTAGAAAAGCAGGAAGGGTTGCGAGCAACACAGTTTCAAGTGTAATGGAGTTCCTCCTTGGACGTGACTTTGCCAGGCCATTTGGCATCCGTGTCTAGAGGCTTTCTTTTGGTTCTTAAGTGCTCAGCTTTCGGAGGTGTGAGATCACGCACCACGGAAGGCAGCAAGCAAAACCACAAAGTGTCACAACCAGGCGCTGCCAAGCTCTTTGTCTCGGGGTCGCTGACGTGCAGGGAGGTTGAACGCCTGTCGCCAGGCGGTTAGATCGGGCTACAAAGCAGAAGCAGAAGCGCACTATCAGCCGCAAGAGTCATCATCCACCCCTCATCTCGTCCGACCGTCCTCATCATCCTCATCTTCGAGTTTGTCATCACGACCTTCGTACCATGTTCTTCCTCTTTCTCTGCATCGCCATCGAGATCATCTCCTTGAAAGCTCTGATCTGCCGCAACTGGCAACTCCATCTTCGAAGTCGAGTCGAACTCTACTCACTCTGTCACTCCGTAAACTGCCGGGGCCTCTGAAGCCTCGCCAAAGCCAAGCGAGGACGGCGCTGAAGGCACGGCCGAAGTTGTGTTTCGGTAAGACGTGCTTCGCTACTCAGCGACTTTGGCAGAGATTTGCGAGATCTGATCTAAGGAAGGCCATAACAGTCAACGTGTTTGAATGTCGTCCTTGTCGGTCAGCTTGAACATTCAGCTCGAAAGTAGCTGACTGCTCTTTCGTCGCAGGCACCGCCTGCGGCGTCGACAGCGCCAGCCCTGGTGCTGGATACCGCGAAGGCCTGGAGGAGATCGTCGTGGTAGGGCGATGGCTCAAGTTGCTGTGCGCGAACTTGCTTCTGCAGGAGTTAGGCGTCAGGCTTCACCGCTTCCAGTGCCGGACAAAGAGTTGAAAAGTCCGACATATTTGGTGCCCTGCGCAAGGCGCAGGTCTTGCCAGCGGCGACTCTTCTGTGCGTGCCTGAGCAATCTCTACGGACCGGAACCTTCATGAAATTGGCAAGCAGCTACAAAAGGGTCGCATCAACACAGGCAAGCAGGAACAGACTTCAGTGCTTGAAGACCTGCTTAACCTTGAATCTTGCACGAGAGAGCAATGTAGCCCTAGTCTCTTTCTGGGTGCACCTCGCCCGGCTTCAATACCACAGCAGAGAGATTGCACGAGTCGGTCAAGTGTCGAAAGACATGAGACACTGAACTTGATTTGTAGGCCTATGTCGGTGCCCGGCTACACCGTCTCAGCCACAGCGTCCCCGCGCTTGGCCACCCCAGGCGAGCAATGAGCATTGTGCGCCTTTGTTGTTTTGGGGCATCGAGTTTGTGCATACTATGGTTGGGATGGTTGCTTTCGGGCTCCGTTGAGGTCAAAGGCAGTCAAGAGTTCTGGGTTTTGGAGAGAACAGGCACATCACACATGCCAGTGCAACTGCTCATGGCATGCTTGTTCACCTGGCAGAGCTTCCCGACATCCTAGACTTGAAAAAGCAACATGATCCACCCTGGGCTTTGTGACGATAGGGGCCTTCATAATGACCTAGTTCATTTTGGGGGTTCCTTATTATGAATATAGTATATAATGGCTCGGACATCCTAAACTTGAAAAGCAACATGATCCAACCTGGGCTTTGTGTAACCTCTCGTCGCCGACAAGAACAGATCCCCTGCAAGTCCTCGAGCTCCGAGTTTTTGGGAAAAGCGTCCGCAAGGCGTCCTGATACATGTTGTAAAAACAGACAGATAGATAGATAGATAGACAGATATACATAGATATAGTGTGTGTGTATATACATTTGTATATATATATATATACATATATATATTTATATAATACATGTAATACATGTATACATATACATATACATGCATGCATACATGCATACATACAGAAGACCTTGGAACTGCGCGGGAGTTTGCAGGTTCTCCGTCGCCTGTGACCACCTTTGTCCCGGCAGCTCCAACGATGGCCGGGGGCACCCCAGCCACGGCCCCAAAAAAGGGAGCTTCCGGGGTATCTCCTGCTTCCGATGGGCTCGAAGAATGTAAGTCAGAGTTCGTGGGGCAGGCTGGAAACTTGGACTTGGTACGGGGTGGATGGGTTCCAACTTAAACACGACTGTCGTGACTCGTCAATGCCTGAGCTAGGCGGCGCCTTGTTGTCAGAATTCTTGGTTTTGAGCTGCGGGACCCAAGCCCTAAACCTCTTGACCCGGGCGTTTGCATGGATTGTTTGAGCAGATCCGTTCTCCATAGCCTCCGCAAAGCCTCGGCACCACGGGAGAGCCATCAGCACTCCCTCTCCCACTGCTAGCATCCCCTTGTGATCCTGAAGCTTCCGTTGCAGTCCCAGGTTTCCGCCAATCCAAGCAGGGCCAACATCTCAGCAGAGGTTGGTGGCTTTTGGAATTTGGAGACTTCGCATGAACCGCACAAACCCATCAGCATGCCGCAGAGTCTGCTGCCATGAGAAGTTCCACCGAACAACACATCAACATGGTTGAAGAAGCAGGTTCATCTCTTCATAAGTAGCATCGGGGGCACACAACAAAGTCGGCGTGCGTTATGTCCATGCCACCAACACCTGATTCGACCGCAAAAACCTCGTGTTACAAGCTGTGCACTACAGCCCGCGGCAAGTCTAGTTCATGTTCTTGGTAACTCGGCCGAGGTGCTCCGCCCGACCTGACAGTCAGGGCCCCTCGTTGGTGGAGCTGCGACTGCGAACTGAAGACTCAATCAAGGAAGTAGGTTTTCGACGCAGGATCGGCTCCCCCGGTGTTTCGTAGCTCGGTAATTAGCATGAGTTGCCGAGAAGCATAATTAGCATCTTGCAGCTGCCAGCAAAGAGGTGTCCTTCCCAACCGAGGCTTAGAGTCTAGAGTTGTTTCGGGCCAGAGGTCCTCCCATGCCTGAGGCGCGGCACTGACGCAGACATAGGGGTTGCTCTGATTTCCTCTTAGAAAAGCCTAGGCCTAGGCTTTCTTGTGGTCCTCGAAGTGGGTTGGAGACAATCTGGCAGCTCTGCAAGCTCGAAGCTGTGCCTCGCCAGCCGAGCAAAGGTCCCAATATCACGGTTTACGGTCATGGTCATGTCATAAAAACTGCAGGCTGTGTAGAGACCTGAATCCCTTCCTCGATGACTCGTACTCCGACGACAGTTTCAACCCAGAAACGCGAACCAGGTCGTTGTGAGAAATTCTCAGAGTCGAGCACCGTTCCGTTGGGGATGCCGGCTGATGGCGTCACAGCTGGGCCAGGTCTTCTGAGCCTTTGGACGATTCTTCGCCCGGCCAGTTCGAGAAGTCAAGTGCGGTGGACATGATTTACACGAGAAGGAAGCAGCGAGCAGCGCAAGTCTGAAACCACACAGCCACACGCTTTTGACTGCGCCAGTGAACTGCCCCGGGCCAGGTCACAGAGATTTTCGTCTTATGCTCAGGGCCTTCCGATGGTTGCGACACATGTCCCTGTCGGAAGATCCTGTCTTAGATAGAGGGGGGCTGGAATGGCAAGTGCGTGAGAGAAAGAGGCTTAAATCAAGCCCTTCACCACGTTCCAGTCAATGTCAATGCCATGCACAGCAGAGTTGCAGAAAAAAGGCTTGGTGGAGTAAGATGCTGAGAAGGGCACAAGCTCATGCGTTTCAACAAGAAGCTACTGCCATCATGTCCCACATGCGAAGATCTATGTACTTGATAGAGTAGCAGGAACACCCTCAATCTCGAAATCCGTGAGTATGGATTCGACCCAGTGCACGATCAGTGTAGAGGCTGCATTTTAGGTTTGAGGTTTGCATTTGTGGTGTTGAAGTCTGTGACATGGCCAGAGAATATAATGCTCATGAAAGTGTAGTTTAGTTGATGTATTTTTAGTTTTTGTTTGTAGTTTCCTGGTTTTTTGGCTTTTGGCTTCTGGCCTTTCCTTGCTGGTTTACTGTCTTCTTTTGGCTTCTGGTCGTTCCTTCCTGGTTTGCTGTCTTCTTGGCTTCCAAATTTTCTTTCTTAGCGTTAAAACTATTTGGCTTCCTGGCTTCTACACCTCGGCTTTCCGTGCAAAGGGCAAAGAGCTTGCATCGGCAGAAAGGTTTGCAAAGGTACATTCACAAAGAAGTTGCCACTTCAGACGGGGTGGAGTTTGTAAATTACTTAGAGCTTGCTTGAAAAGAACGAAGAAACGAAGACAAACAATACCGTAACAAAAACCCAAAAAACAGCTAATTACGGTGCCAATTCCTTGTGCGTTTTCTGGCCTTGCGGTAATGAGGGTTAGAAGCATGTCCCCGCTGTTATGTCAGAGCAAATCGACGACCAGATCCGAAAACCCAGTCCTTACGACTATCGCACGCAGGAGATCCACAGCGTCGTGGTGCTCCTGGGATTGTCCTTCTTCGGCTACATTTGGGGTTTCACAGGCCGGCCTCGGTCCACCTTAAAGCTCCCCCAATTCGGGACATTGGAGCCTTGCAGAAGCAATTCCCGAACTATTCCTGACTGACATGGATAGAAGAACGAAATGCGGGACGGTGGTAAGAAGGCTTTGGACCTTAAGTCTGAGCGTCCGACACCTTGATTTTTCGACCTTTGGTTTCATGGCTCTGCTTCAAATCATCTCCTACAATAATCGTGTCAGGGGTTAAGTGCACGGCGTGCAAGCTCGGCCCATCAGTGCTAAGCGCGTTCTTTGTTGCTGTACTGCAGTCGAAAGCGCGTAGAAGTCGCATAGCCACAGTCGGCATGACGGGGCACGAGTTGCAATGCCCTTTTGTTCGGCGCGTGCACAGCCTAGGTTTTCATGCGGATGGTCTGGTGTCTCTCACGAACCGTCGAATTACTACAAACATCGACACATACTGCTAAGCTAGCTCACGTCCTGTACAAAATGAAATGTCGTGTAAGCTCAACAAAAACTGCCCGTGTTCAGACTCGCCGTCGGCAACTAACGAAGTCCATCGCAAACGGAAGCATCTAAAGAGAGAACTGCACAGACCTTGAAAGGGGCACTGTAAGGGTTGCTACAACGGTCTATTGCAACCTTCAAGAAGTGGAATAGGGATTTGGGACAACATGCTGTGGACTATAGAGCAGGAATGTTCCTGTCGGTGCCGCTCCTCTTCGCGATGCATGCCTGGCTAGACACCGTCGTTCGCACCCAGTCCTACCAACAGGAGGCTTGCCTGGGAACAACATGGTTGACGTGAAGCGGGCTCACAGCCGTTGGATTGGATTTGTGTAATGAGTTTCCGTCGAGGCGTATGGAAGTTCAGGGAATATGTGCGAAGCCATTCGATATTGACCTGCCGCCAGCCAGCCGTGAGCAGACTTCGGAGAGCCCATGTGTTTGGGGGCTTTGGTGGCCGACTCGCAGGCGCGTGAAGATGCGCGCTTCATCATGGGGCCCTGGCCCCAGAAGGGATGACCCAGCTTGATGTTGGCGCTGGTTTCTTTCTTCGGGTTTGGAGCTTGCTTTGCCGATGTGGATATATAGACTATCGTGACGGGCCTTAACCACTTGGTAGAGAGCCTTGACGAACGTACCAACAAAAAGCATGCAACCAGCCGAATGACAATCTTTCCATGCTTGGAGCAAGGTTTCACATGTGGTACTGCCCGTTGGGCTTTCGGTGTTCATTGCAGTGGCAAAACACGGATCTTATATTAGCCATCATAATGTCATAATAGTGGTTGTCTGCAACATTGGGTCTGTGATGTTTCAAGACTGACAGAGCGGGTCGTGGTGTCGGAAGTTTGGATGTTTTCCCAGCCGGACCCAGCCCAACCCGACACGGTGAACCAGTCTGGCGGACACGTCTATACAGCCTCTCTTGTGAAGCCTCAACATACCAACTCGCTGACCATTCTATTGGACCCTTGGAAGCCTAAAGCTCCTTCAAAACGAAGGCTTGAAAAGCCCTCGTGACCATGTTTGAGATCCGAGGATGCTCGAGGGCCGCTGGCTGGCAGACAGTGCCCAGGACGTGGGGACCCCCAGCGCGGGAAGTTGGAGGATCAGCTTTGGTATTGGGTTGTCGCCAGCCGAACGTCGGGAAGTGATTTCAGGATAAAGCGCAGAGTTGACTGACAGGAGCATAGGACGAGAAGCAGTCGAAAAAGCTTCAGTGCGAGGCCGAAGCAATCAGGAGAGCACAGCAGCCAAAACGCGGGTAAAGCAAAGACAATGCAAGCCACCGGCAGAACAAGTAAGCATGCGGTCGAAATCCCGGGTTGTCATAATCGTACAGGACGGAAGCCGCAGTGTTTTCAGCTGAGCTATTTCGGATTTGAGTTTGCAGCCGTCGACCCTGCATCGTCGAGCTTCACGCGATTCAAAGGTGGGCGAGAAGGGCAACCAGAACGATGTGAACCTGCTGACGGGAAACATCGAGGTGACCCGAGGGTTGTTCGCGTTGATCCGGCCACACTTGGTGGCTTCGGTGATCTGCAAACTGCTGTGGCGCGGGAGACAGGAATGGAAGCCGAAGCTTTACTGCTGCAACATGGCTTTGGCTATCGGGACGTCGGCTTTGCTTCCTCTAGCCTAGCCGCTAGCCGCTAGCCTCATCAGCGATCTTCAGCGGTAGCGAATGGACATAGTTTCTATCTCGCCTAACATCAAGTTCTCTTTGGAGGAGGCCGACGAGGAAGGTCGGCCGATTGAGATGCCGTCTTCCCGTGACCAAGACAGGCACCCCGCTTGCAGCTGCAAGGGCTGTCATCGGGACCGAGCGAGAAGCAAGTGAAGTGTGTTTGTGCACATCAAGGACTGCGTCCTCATGGCCACTTTATCAGGGTGTTTCCTAGCCGTCTTCAGTGGCGAAGTAAGCCTTCTGGGGCGTTCACGGACTGTCGATCCCTTCGAATAGAAGCCCTTACGAGGGGAAACAGAAGGAAGCAGCTCTGGTTACTTCGCAAGATCCCAGGAATGGCTGCAGTCCAATGCGTTCTTTCTTTAGAATCCCGCGCCAGATGACCTGCGAAGGAGTCTCAGCGGTCCCGTACAGGCGACGCATTCCACTGATTCAGCCACATTCTCAGATTGGGTGGAACTTGAATGTGCAGGAGTCACTGTACCGTACTGCTCCAAAAACTGTTTTCCTGAATTATGAGTTTGATGAGGTGTGCAGGTGGGATCTTTTGTCCAGTTCGCTTTGCCTGCGAGATGCCTTCTGGCTTTTCGTGGTGACAGAAGCACGCAAACACTACTTTGGGTTCTTCAAGATGTACAACAACACCGCGCTGAAACCCGCTGCTGCAAGGGCCTGAACACGAATCAGCCTTGATAGTTTGCATAGACAAACTTCCCCGTGCCCAGAAGCAGCAGCCCATGATCGAGTCGGACCTGTTCCGGGACATGAAGGCCGGCATCGCAGAAATCAGTAGAAACCATGAGCTATCAGGGTTCGAATTATTTGTCTAGACTATTTTGCTTTCCTGAAATCATATAATGTTCACAAACTTGAATGGTTTTGAAACTAAGTTCCATGCTGGTTACGTGGGTGCTCCCGTCCCAGATGCTTCCTGGATTTTGCACCAAAGACGCTTGACGGTTTGAGAACTGCAACCGTGTGGTGTTCTGGATTGAAGAGTAGATGACTCCGGAAACAAGATCAAGTCTTGCTCGCGAGGCTTTTACTCACAGTCGCACCCTGCACAGATACCAACAGTATTTGTCAGCAGATATTGTTTTGATCACCGGGCTGTTCTCGTGGGACTGCACATCATCCCTCCGCTCCATCTCGTTTGCACAGGACATGCTCGCTGTGCGCGATCCTACGACCGGCGAGGCGTGCGGGAAGCCTCGGGAACACTTCAGAACCTCCAAAGAGAACCTATGATTCTGCAGGGCTGCGGTTGCCTAGTTATTTGAATCCAATTCTCCAGGGTTTCGAGGTTGAGGGTTTGGCCTCCCAGTTGGGAGTCTTTGAAAACAAGAAACCTCCAGTGTAGACCACAAGCATGAAGTATGTTCTGAGTCCGAGTTTCGGAAGAACGCTTTCAGGTGCGAGCCGTTGCTCTGCTCTTGCGCTGGATCTTCCTCACAGGCGCATTTATATTGTAGCAGTTGTGTAGAACCATCTAGTCGCGAAAGCCATCAGAGGTTTGTGAATTTCCGGCAACTCGTGACCGAGCCGCAATCCGCTGGAGAGGCATGTTTACCTTCATTTTCTTCGGCTTCTCCATCTTCCACTGGCACCTGCACTACTTGATCCACCCTTCCGGGGGCGCGGCGCTGTCCCCAAAAGTCCATCAAGTATCTTGTTTCAGTTTCATGCAGATGGGCGTACACCCTGTACCATGTGCTTCCTTTGGTTGGTTCCTTTTGTTAGACAGGAGGTAGGGAAGTCAGGTTTCAAAGGCTGCAATGCCATTATGGACTAGCATGCTGCACAAAGAATCCATTTGCTTGTGACCCACTGCTGAGGCAAAGACAAACGCGACCCATGTAACCGACCCGGCGGACACTGTGATCAAGCACACGGAGGCAAACGGCATTCTTCTGATAGTTCCTAGAATGTTCAGTTTGTCTCTCTCTCTCTCTCTCTCTCTCCACATGTTGAGTGTTCTCTTTATGAAAACCAATGAATCCAGAAGTTAAATAAAGTTAAATCTTGATTTAATTGTTCGGTTTTGACAGACCTTGGACCTTCCAAAGACACAATTAAATCAGGTTGTAATTGTGTCGGCATGCATTTCTCTAATATACAATTAAATCATGAGTTTACTGTCTCCCTGTGTGCCAGTATATTCTACCAGAGACTTGTGTGCCATACGCTCGCGGGATACCACATTAAATCATGATTTAATTGCGGAATTTGGCGTCCTTCTGGGCAACCACCAGTAGTGTAGTTGGTTCCTATCACGGTCCAAAGACGTATAACCTAAATAAGTCGATCACCACACTAGCGGGAATCCACGTGAAATCATGATCTAGTTGCCGAATTCGTCCTCCTTGGTAACCACCAGTAATGTAGTTGGGGTTACTATCACGGTCCAAGGAATTTTAGCCTAGATAAGTAGATCGCCACACTAGCGGGATACCACATTAAATCATGATTTAATTGCGGACTTTGGCGTCCTCCTTGCTAGCCACCAGTAATGTAGTTGGTGTTGCAATCACGGTCCAACGAATTTTAGCCTAGATAAGTAGATCGCCACACTAGCGGGATACAACATTAAATCATGATTTAATTGTGCCGTGTTGGAGCAGGACAGGCGTGGAATGGAGCGTCGCGCAACGTTCAGGGCCAAATTAAATCATAAGTAAATCGTGCGGGCCTGAAGGGGTCCAAGGCGGCCCGATGCCGGCCAATAAACTCAAGAGTTAATGTTCTTTAACTCTTGGATTCACTGCCTTCCTTCTCTTTATTGAGAGTGCATGTTGCTGTCGGCGCAGGTGCTCAGCACGTCCCATGCACATGCAGAGGCGCTCCTACTTGATGCATCAGTCTCAAGCCTTGACTGACGCGGGTGATGTTTTCCTGATCTCCCGAAAATACCTCGGCAGACGCCGCCGCGTTTGTTCCGATGGCATTTTGCAACATCGCTTCGTCTGCCAGGGCGCCGGCTTTCTGTTCACGACGACTGTGGTGTCCACGGTCGCGGAGGCTCAGAGTTCTGCAGCGCCTGCATGCCTGGAAACCAGAGTCAGACCTAATTGTTTCAAGCAGAATTCCTAGCCGCCAGTCAAGCGGAAAAGCTTTTCTTGCAAGTGCATGTGCTAGATCGGCCAGGTCGAAAATAGCTCTGCGCTGCCCTCCTTTCCCTTAAACGGCACTGCGATGCCCTCGTTTCCCTTCAGGCCGGTCGAGGGTCTGGTCCTAGGATTTCGACCAGGGGGGCCAGCCAGGTTTCAGGACCCCTTGCCACGTCACGTCAAGAGCACGATAAAACTATGCTAGGTCGAAATCCGTTGCAAAGCTGGGAAGGCTCCAGGCCCTACTCTAATTTCATTTCACTGCCCCAAGTGCCGCAGGGGTTCGCCAGAACTCCACAGCGGAGTAAGCCACCACGATGCCAAAGGCGTTCTGGGACGGCAGTTTTTGGGATGCTGTCTTCGCTGGAGTCTGGGTGTATAGCATACGAGCCTTTCAAAGCCTTGTACGCAACACGAACGCCAGTTGATACAAGTTGTAGAGCCAGCGGCGTTGGTCAGAGAAGCTACAAGCACTTCGCGGCCTTGCTTCCGCTCTCCCTGCTTCTAAAGCCCACACAATCACAAAGCCTAGCTTGACACTCCCCCTTCCTAGAAATCATGCTTGTGAACAGTTTGTGCTACGGGAATGTCTTAGTGCGGGTAGGTTACTGGATGAGCATCAGTCACATAAGCATGTGGGAATATTTCGTGAGCATTGTATCGGCTGCAAAAAAGCTATGGCCGACTGTGGTCAAGCGCATGGTCCCAACCACAATTAGAATTAGGGTCAAGCCGTAGAGACTGCCGTTTCAAGATCTCAGCAGCTTGCAGGTTTGCATGTCGGCAGGGGACCCAGAGATGCTGTGCCTGAACGGAGAACCGTTGCCCGTCACTTGGAGCCGATCCCGAAAACAGATCATCTTCGGCTAGTGCAGCATGGGAGCTTGGTATAGGATCGGAAAGAACTGAGGCACACTCCACACCCACATCGATAGCTT